AGACTGGACGAGGACGGGGGCCTGTAGTCTTTCACATGTTAACAAATGCAATGTGTTTAGCGCTCTTGGCCCCACCGTGGAGAGGAACACAATCAAATTTTAACAATTAACAAAAAACTGGAAGTGCCATTTAAATCTCTCAAATAAACAATTTCCTTGATGTCTCGCAACTAAGCAAGCATTTACCGAAAAAACGGCCGAACTTCATGCAAAAAACCGGTAATCATGCACCTGGATGTCCTTGCGGCTCTGTAAAGCACTACATTATTCCCTACTGACGCCCTTCCTCCTGCATTCTGGAAAGGATCAAAGCACGGCCAATATGACCCAAGTGTTAGGCTACAGTGTAGGGATCATTCTTGCTAATAGCGATCTTGAGTTTAGTGCAAAAACGCATGATCGCACCGGAGAGCCTGGCGCGTTCCAGCCTGGGTTATACATCACAGGATGCTAAATTCGCATAGCAAACTCAATTTTCTTATTTCTTCGAGGCAAAATAGACGTTTAAAATGTGCAAAAATTCTTACTGCCAAGAGTTTATCTCCGACTCTCAGACGGCCATCTTGATAAGCTGCACCACCATCGATGATTTTGGTTACGTAGATACCAGTGTCGCCAGCCACATGCTCATTACCAACTCCTCCAGCTATGCTAAATCCCAGTCCTTTTGTACCCTGAAAATGCATTATAAATTTTAATGAATTTTGAAAACCAACAAATACAAGGAAAAGGATGGATTGCTATAAAGCGACCTGCTTAGAAAAGTTTATTACTTCTGTTCAGTGGCAGATATCTTAAGACTGAGTCCCTGATTTATGTGCAAATACAAAGATATAATTTCATCATACCAAGTGAGAGAATCCAACAATTCTACCCGTTAAGACTTGGGGAAAAAGCAAGGAAACGAAGGTCAGGTCCAAGAGCAAGCTGGCCAACAACGTAATGCACCTACGGCCAAAATTACCATCGAAAAGATGCCAGCTGCGCTAATCATGGGAGAATCTTAATGCTTAAATAACAGCTGATCAAAGCATCATTCTAGCACATCGATGATTTATGCAGTAAATCGGTGCTGTTCTATTTAAGGTTAAAAGAAAAATGTATAAATGCTGTTGGAAAATATAAGAAAGGATGATAGAAAAAGTAAAAAAGGATGACAGAAAAGATAAAAAAGGAAGGATGTGGAGAAGAAATATTAAATTAGGTAAGAAATGTTTCGGTATACCGAGGGGATACCGTGCGTTTCCTGCGGGAATACCGTGCGTAAAAATTTTTTCAAATATGCTTGTTAGATGTGATAAGCACTGTATAAAGATTTTTGACATGTTTAATGTGTCTGGATTACTGTTATTATTGAAATTTTCTTGGGTAATTATCCATCTTGTTCTTTTGCTGCCGAGGAGGTGCCGTGCGTGAAAATTTTTCAAAATATGCTTGTTGAATGTAATAAGTATTGCATAATGATTTTTGATGTTTAATTTAACTGGATTCTTGTTATTATTAGCAATTTCTTGGGTGATTATCCATCGTGAAACCGGCAAAAACAACCCTGTGCTATAGCCTTTTCGGATGTCAGCACCAATGGCTGAAATCGGTTCAAATCCCACCAAAACTTGTCGAGAAAAAAGAATATTTTGACTGAGCCACAATAGTTCAACACTTGGAGCTCCTGAGACTTAGTAGTTGATTTTAAGATGAAAAAAAAGGATGCAAGTCCCTATTTCAATTAATTCGTTCAAAAAATTAAAATAATTCGTTTTGCTGACAAGGAGAAGCTGTGTAACAACGGGTGGTATTCATTATCACCACAGACCTTGGGCGATTATCGCCGAACCCTTGCACTTTCCTATTTCAGCACGATTTGTGCGGTTCCTCCGTCTAATACCCTTAGCTATTCCGGCCCCTTCTTCTTTTCCTTACAGGGCCTTTTAGGCCCGTACTGCTTTTTGTAGTTATTCAACAGATAAAAGCGATCATCCAAGTAATTTTGGATAGAGATTGTGTGCGTTCGTAATGGATAAGGCAAACAGCAACATCTTGTCGTAACCTTGACATTTTAGGTAAATATTAAGTCCGCAAGCATAGAAAAATCGGCAGATTTCCAGTCACAGATCACCGATAAAAGACGAATTCAAAACATGCCTTGTATAAGTCAATTCTTTGGACGCCTGGCAATCGCTCCAATCGCTCAATTTCTCGCAGTGACCTCTGAATTGGAATATTTGTGAATGAGCCATGAGATGGTGGAGCAGGTGGCGGATATCCGGGCGCAGAAGGCGATCCATCATGCAACGGTGAAACGTACGGTGACAAAATACTTCCACCCAAACCAACACTTTCGCGGCCCGAACGGCGTCGTTTCAATACCTGCAAGAAAAAAAAGCTCATGTGCTCAAATCCAGCAAATCTCAAAAGTGAATTTCAGAAGTCGAAGATTTATAAATGGCTAAACGGCTCACCAGTCTGACCACATTGCCTGCATTTTTCAGAGCATTTACGGTGGTTTCGTGAGGTGCTCTTGTACAGTCAGTTGCATTCACTTTCATAATAATGTCTTGAACTCTGGAAGAAATTTTTTTTGGAATTCGCAAAAATTCAAATGTGACTATTTTAATACATCGGGATAACGAATTTCCCTCGTCCCTCATGCAGTTAATAGCCGGATAAATATTGATTTAGAGGTCTCGATTCACCCGGATGCGTAACCTCATATCACAAGGGGATCCA